TTTCTGTGTTTCTGTATGTATTCCCATTTACCTCAATTTTATGTAAACTAACTAGCTGTTATTTGCTTTGAAACTTACTGTATCTATAATTTTGTGCACTTAGTTTTTGCTTTCGGTTTTTCACTAAAAACAATGTATAGTTAGGATTGATTGTTGTATACACACACCTGTACAACTCACATGTCTGATCTGACACCTTAGACACGTTTTTGTCATCTCAGGAGTGGTTGAGGATGCTTCAACTACTTCTTGTTACGCAAAGCAAGGGAAATTCATGATGATCAACTCAAGGTGTATTAAGGTAGGCGAGCAGCATGTATTTTGAACATTTCTACACCTGCGATAAAAAATTACAATCCATCTTTGTTTGCCATCTCCAAATAGAATAATGAACTTGGTGTACACGGGTATTTCTCTTTGTTCTTTATTCAGGGTATAAGCATATTGGGAGGCGAAGCGATAAGCAATCTCGAACCGACGCCTTTGAATATGGACAGAGTGAAGCAACGATATGCGAAGGCCGTCAATAAGGTAGCGTCCTCTAGCAGTTCTTCACCAAATATTCTTATTATTCGATTTGAATTTGCCTGGTAGCTTGGAGGCATACACTTTTGCTTGAAGCGAAGTTTTATTTGTTTGTTGCATTGATGGATATTTAGTACTGCAAATCAGCGCAGCCCAATGGCATTGCATTCATATTCCATTCCCCTGCTTCTATGACCGCCCGCTCAGCGCAGTATATCAGCATTCTTTCACATACACACTCGCATACGAACATGATTATTCCAACGTGGATGCGAATGCCTAAGATTTTAGAAACTAACAAATTGCTTAAAAATTCACAGGCGAAGGAAGAAGCGGCTAAGATAAACAAAAACGTTTCACAAGAGGACCAATCAATCTTTAATGCTATTAGTAAAACGTAAGTGCAAACTTAATTTTGTTGTATGGCCTACGATTCAGCAGCGCCGAATTGTTAGTAGTCGCATGCTAGCTCCGATTAGCATTCGTCCACATGCGGAAGAGAGATAATAGTATCAGTAAAATAACTGGGTCGAATACGCATAGCAAAAGTAGACCGTGTACCCCACCATATGCTCTTCTGCTACCTCTGCTTGGTATCAGCCGCGCTCACTATATAAATTGTATCCTATTCGATATAGCCGATAGGTTTCGAATCAAGATGTCACTTGTATGTTGCTTTACGTGCGCTCGCCAATGTGAACAGTGAAATGCGTGAACAGCACAACTTATATTGAAGCTCAACATACATGCTGAGCGTTCCAATTACATTTATCCCCGTCTCCATTGCCAGGCTGCCATGTGCGTGGGACGACAGAAATATTATTGTGCTAGACACGATTACAATCACACCACCATACACCCCAGATGACTGTTCTGGAGATAACATATACATGCTACAACGGGTCCAGAAAGTGGTATGTTTGATCTCTCTTGCTTTTTGCTTTGGCACTAAAATAAATAAATTAGCATTTGTGCGTTTTAGGAGGTAAATTCGACATATGCGCGTTGCATCCACTCCAATATCAACGCTTTTTGTAAATGTTATGATATGGCTTGGTACACGCAAATTCCCACACCCTCCTTATATGAAACATCACCTCTCTCCTTCCCAATCACATACTCACGCAGATCGGACACGAGCGCGCCAAAGGATTTCAGAAATAACGGCACTCAAAACAATAAAAATGAATAATGCATCACTCCCACCCGCGTAGCGTCCACTTGCGACGACCTTTTTAGATTGAAATAAATCGGTAGGTGGTAAAACGGAATGGGTATTACACCCGTGTTGCCACGTGGGTCAATTGTATCGAAATGTCCATTCGAAGGACGCTAATTCTTCTGTGTTCTGCAATATAAGTTACAGACTCGTGTTTGCGCAAAAAGAATGATTTCCTTCAACTTGCCTTCGAGAAATCACCAGATATCTGTGCTTATTTGACCGAGTATCCATCATCGTGCTGACTGAGATGTCGTCCGCTGGAACTGCGCAGAGCACAGACTGGAAGTTGTGCTCTTATCTCTCCTCCTAGTATCTGCATTCTACAGTACTTACAGACCACTACTGTAACTGATACAAAGCCGATGAAAGGAGTGCAGCAATTTCGCTTCGGATTGGTATCGTCCATGCTATGGGTGTTCTAAACTTTAATTTGAGGTCACTGTCCAATATATCGTTGTATTGTTCACATAGGTCGGAACAGGTAGTAAACTGCTTCTTTCGTCGCTAAACACTACGCAGTCGTAAACCCTCGGGCGGGGGTTGGCAGCCAATCAATTAACCACTCTGATTTGATTGTTTGGAAGGCGTCACACTGCGCACGGCTGTATCATATACGTTGAGAGACTGTACAATATATATAGCACCCACGGGGGCTTCAAGCACTAATTAGTCGTTTTTAAGACGGGCCCACCGAAGAGCAAGCGATTCTATGCTGTTTTGGAAGATTGCTTCAAGAACGCCCTGATTTGATCATCTTAACCGCGTGAGTCATGTTGAGGCGTGCCCGGCTGCTGTTCGTTTACTATGAGACTGTATAATACAGTTTTTACGAGAGCTTTAGGCATCAAACAGTTCAACTTTGCAGGGTGGGTAACACCAACTGGCATGTGGCTGTATCATCTGTGTTGCAAATCTGCGACAAAACCACCCATGAAAATACTAGCCACCGTCTGTTTGGACCGTATAGAGGGACACGGCTGTTATTATACCTGCGACTCTAAGAGTGAATTGTCGATGGGCAACCGTTCGTCTGCTTAATTGTATTATCTCGGGTTCCACTGCTTTCCCTTAGTCATTACTGAGACTCATGGACTGGTGATTAGTCCACATCTTCAATTACGGTTGAGGGTGCGTCGGGTTTTGCTACCGTCTATTGTATGAAAAGTGGTCGGTTATGAGGAAAAGCCGTTTGCACACAGTATTTTAGATATACGTAGTTGCGACATATCCAAGCGATATAGCCTTATGTGGTGATTGAGTGCGGTATATTGAGGGTTCAAAAACTACACTCATATCCCATTTCAACATTTTTCATCAGCGGTGCAAATATTTTAACTCCCATTATTACTCGACAGTGGAATCAGTCAGGGTTGCAACAAGAATATATAGCCCGTTTTATCCATCACAATACCTTTGTGTCAATCGCCTTGCCCTCGACAATCAAGTCCACCTCTTCTCGAATCAATTCTTGGGCTAAGACACCTTGAAAGCAGCCATGTCACATAGAAAGAAATCATAAGATGTGCAGCACAGGTCGTATAGATAAGAGAACGAAGTATGAACGTACAATCGGTAGAACTGGAGTGGTGATTTCCGATTATTTTGCAAGCATATCCATGCGCTATGATACACAGACTGCACAGACATCCATCAGCACCCGCCTGGAACAACCAAGAAAACACAAGGCACTGATTTGACAGCCCCCACGCACTCAATGCGAGAAGAAAGATTGGAAAAGCTGCATAGTTGGGAATAGATAGACTGTTGGTGGTTGGTTGATGTAGAGAGGTCCAATATGAAACAAATCCAATACATCCGAGAACAGTTTGGCACATCGACAATCCGGGCACTAAAAAGTATGAACTGGAGAGCAATCAAGCGGAGCTTGGATCAAATCATTTATATCTAGGACAAACTTGGGCAATTAACCTACCAAGTGAGTATAGAGCAGCCCTGGCGAACATCTCTTGCTCCTGGACTGCCCCCGCTGCCAGTATCCTCGCGTGTGCGTATGTGTTGATACGATCCAGCAAGTCCTACATTCGTGATACGCATGTGTGAATATGAGCGGAGATCAGGAAATGCACCGGTCCAAAACTAGAAGATATCAAATATAACGAGAATCCGATTTCTGTACAGCAAATCACCTTACAAAGGCACGGATGAGAAAACCGAAAGATATAAATTTTCCAGATAAATGACAACATATATCAAAAAAAAACTTTACATGCATAAGCACAGAAGAAACCGTACACACATAAACGGTACCATAGTATGTACGTGTCTGATTCGATGAGCTGATGAACAAATGCATCAAGTGGCAAATACGCGCACAGGATCCAAGGGCACTCAAAACGCTGATCTGATGGTATAAAATACGTTGATAGCTGCTGAGAAACCCTTACGACAGTCGCCAGCAACACCTATATTCGGCCGCATTTATTGATCATCAATCAAAACCCAGTGAGACATTCGTGCGCACTTATACATAAAAATATATTTCAATGTTCAAGAACTCGCAGATCTATGTGAAAATGTATGCTATAAAATGTAAGTATGTGAATATTAACAGAGCGTGTAAAAACATACCAGCAAATCAATATATATATATATGTATCCGATAATATGGAGTACAACCTACTCAACAGCAAATCAACCTGAAACATACCGCTGTAGGATGATCGTCGTCACTTTTATGAAGTGTGGCAGCCTTTCCCTTTTATGGTAAATATGCGTTAATAATAGTTTATTATCGTTAGCTCAAAACGATGAAATGCGATGATACTCCTGCATAGAGTGCGTATCACTGCACAGATAACAACCGTTCAACGATATTGGACTTCCTAGTAAAGTGCGGTTAGCTGAGAGCGAAAACGCATATACATCCAATCTGGAAGATCGCACAGTGCTAAAATTTAAATTTTGGTCTGGAGACTTATACACATATGAATGTTTAGGAGCTTAAGGGCGAGCACGAGTTGTTTCTGCTAAACGCCTAGATTGCATCAACAAATCGATGTCTTGACCGTCAATTAGTGTTTTTAAACACAGGTCGAAAACAACATAGTTTCGTTGGTACTAGATAAGTCATAGAATACATGAATACTTTAGAATTCGGGCTGACACTTATTAATACTAAATAGTACAAAAGCTATGATACGGGGCACGGACGAGAGACACGAAGTGCAGATTTGTGAAAAGGTAATAGGCGCAAGACTGTATAACCTAAACAACTAGCTGCCTTGTATATCTCGCTTTGAACGACAACGAATAAAACACGATAATCCACCAGCGTAAGTATGAACTATGCCTTCAGCCATGACTCGTAATACCATACACTGTCCCAAAAAATTGGTTAAAGCAATAACTACCACTTGATTAAACCCTAAAATCGTACAAACTCTCCACCCAATCCGCAAAATTGAGATATATCGCTTCTTACGAACGTAAATTTACTGAAGTATGTATACTAAAATTGATCTTGAAACAAAAGCATACCTTTATTCTGGTATCTACTTTCGACTATAGGTACAGTAACATAGCCTACACGATAAAATTAAATACGAATAAATACATAACCAATAGTATAGATGTACAAATGTAAACACTAATAGAGAAAGGTATATATACAACACTTTTCCTGCAGAACAAAAGAGCTACCATTTTAAACTCAATCATAAATAAGAGTGAGTGATGTGAAACCTCAAAAGGTACATATATACATATGCACGCAAACATACATACGTACTGTGAGAAATACGCATCTATCAATAATTCTATGGCTACTCAAAATACATACAAATGTATAAGTTAAGATGTTATAAATTTAACTAGTCGAATGAAATCAGAATTGTTAATACAGATATGATTAAAGCTATAATTTTGTATCAACGTATATATATATAAGTATATAATTACATATATATATATGAATAATTTTGACAATAAAATAGCATAACAAGTTTATAATATAACAATACAATAATATGATTATATGATTATATGACTATACAAATATATATCTATATCTATATCTGTATCTATATCTATATATATATCTATATATATATACAGACACACACAGGCACACAGGCACACAGACACCCAGACACACACACACACATATATATATATATATATATATATATGCCGTTGGTCAACGGTATTTAGAGTAGACCGGTCACGTACTGCAAATATTTCAATGCGTATAGATACGAACCAGAAGAGCCCAGATAGAAAGTTTCTTATCCGTTGATACATATATATATATATATATATATATATAAATATATAAATCAAATCCAGTAGAAATCATACTTCTATCAAAATCTCTATTCAACAAAAACTTGAGAGGAAATGAAGCAATTTACCCTTTTTTTCCTGACGAGGACTTCTGATTCCGCCTCTGCTCGTGCCCGCGAATGCGCCTGCTTCGGCATCTTGATATACAAGAGTTTACCACAGCTTGGCGTTCAATAGTACCAAAATTGCAACTGAACGCAGTGACGAGTTGTCTGCAATTATAATTCCAGCACTCTGCGTACACTGAGGGAACAATATAAAACTAATTGCCGATTGTTGTTTTGTTCTGTTGTTTGCAATACAAACAGCACATACAGTACATTCATATACATCATTATTATCAAATGTACACTCGAGTCGACAGTCGACACTCAACTCGACACAGCGGACACACAGGTGGATTGACTCCGAAACCTCAGACCATTTTTCGCTACAAGTAACGTTTCAAAACTAAACGTCAAACGTATATCAAAAATGATCGCAAACGTAAAAGATAAATAACATAAACGTTTAACTAACCAAAGATGGATTTTTTAATAAACGTTTATACACGAGAAATGCTGAGATACACAGCTTGGGGTTTCTTGAGACCTTGGCACTTGGCAGTTGGCAGTTGGCACCCCTGTGGGGCTGGGGGGGGCTGGGGTCCTGAGGCTGAGAGGCTTTAGACGCGACCCAAGTTGTTCTGTGCGAACTGAAGAGCACACGCCTTAGGCCCTCAGCACAATGTGCCGGGTGGTAATGGAGCAGGCTTCCGACCAATGGGAAAGTTTACTTTGGCTTTTTGCGAACTTTCAGCTCTGCTGCTTTTCTCCTCCCCCCCCCCCCCCGGCCAGTTCAGTACATATATTTAGCTTCAGGGTGTTTGGTCATCTATATGAACAATGGTTCACTGTCTGCTACATACATATTAACCAAGTGCAGATGTAGACATACTCGACTACCTATCCCATCTAACCCATGTAATAACTATAATTGAACTGGGAAGTATGGCTTTATAGCAGTAGATCTTCCTCGCGCCAATCGAACAGCAATATGGACGAGGTAGAGGCCGTAGGTCCGCGGCGGGGCTCCATACTCAGATCACAAGAAAGTACGGCGTTCACATCCCGGTATACGTCAGATGGGCTGCCGATTAGCGCTGACCGATCACCTACCGCAGTTTTTAGGCAACAGTTTTACCGGATTGGTTACTTCTGCGCAACGCATCCCTTTGTCATCTTCTTCGTGACTTTCATAGGTGTGTTTGGCTTTTTATTTGTTGGACTAGGTCTCGTACATTGGATAGCTGTTTGTAGATTTACAGAATCGACGCGTACTAATATTTTGTTGTTTGTGTACGCAAACATCGCGCAGACACGAGAATAAATGTTTAAATATGCCTACTCAAATGTCATTTATAAAACTTGCACTTGAAGCCATACGAGACTACTCAATAAGCTTATACACCCACACACACACCCACACACAAACATATATA